GCGGGGGAGGGGAGAGAAGTGTAAGCCTCTCCAAACTATTTAACTCTTGCCTCCTCTTTTAGATTTCGTTGTGGACCAGAGCCAGGCTGTGAAGTTTGCGCTGGACATGGCAAGGGGCATGGCCTTCCTACACACACTAGAGCCCCTCATCCCACGACATGCACTCAACAGTCGTAGTGTAATGGTGAGGTCCCAACTTCACTCCCGGCCCAGGCCCCAGAAGCCCTTTCCCTATCTAGAATAGGACTTACCTCCTTCCACACAACTATCTTCTCCTCCTCAGATTGATGAGGACATGACTGCTCGAATCAGTATGGCCGACGTCAAGTTCTCCTTCCAGTGCCCCGGACGCATGTATGCACCTGCCTGGGTGGCCCCTGAAGGTGAGTGAGTGCATTACGTTGGGAGGCAGAGAAGGGGCAGCTCAGTAGTAATGGAAGGGAGCAAGAGACAGGATAGGCAGCTGGAACAGTTAAGTCCTGTCCCTCCAGCTCTGCAAAAGAAGCCTGAAGACACAAACAGACGCTCAGCAGACATGTGGAGTTTTGCAGTGCTTCTGTGGGAACTGGTGACACGGGAGGTACCCTTTGCTGACCTCTCCAACATGGAAATTGGAATGAAGGTGAGAGCATAACTGGATATACTTGTGTTGGGGGAATGGTGGTGGTAGTGACAATAATTGCAGTGGGGCTGGGCTCTTCCTACATTTGTTCAAATATACAGAATCCTGTGCTGAGGGCTAGAGGCCGCTCCCCATATGAGACTCAAGTTCTGAGACCCACGTTGTTTTTCCTTGTGCTTGCAGGTGGCACTGGAAGGCCTTCGGCCTACCATCCCACCAGGCATTTCCCCCCATGTATGTAAACTCATGAAGATCTGCATGAATGAAGACCCTGCTAAGCGGCCCAAGTTTGACATGATTGTGCCTATCCTGGAGAAGATGCAGGACAAGTAGGGCTGGAAAGTCCTTGTCTAAACTCCAGAGGTGTCAGGACACGGTTAGGGGAGTGCACCTCCCCAAAGCAGCAGGCCTCTGGTTGCCTCCCCTGCCTCTAGTCATGGTACTACCCCAGCCATGGGGCCCATCCCCTGCCCCCATCCCTACCACTGTGGCCCAAAAAGGGAATGGGCTTAAAGCTTTGTCACTTGCCACACGGTGTCTCCCAGCATGGGAGGGATCAGCCCTGCCTGTCACAATAAAGTTTATTATGAAAACAGGCTGGTGTGGGGACAAGGGGACGGACAAGTACATTCCGACCAGGTGGCTCAGGTGAAGTAGTGCGGCTTCTTCACATTGATGCCGTACTCGCTGAGGGCAGGGGTCAAGTCCTCCATGGTTAGGGTGTACTTGCGGTCCTGAGGGAAGAGGGGAGAGCACCGACTGAACACAGGAATTCCAGAGTTCAGTCCCAGGTGGGTGACCCTGAGTAGGTCTTTCACCTCCCCTAGGGCTTAGTTTCCCTCAAAGGGGTTTCAGGATAATTTAAGCCTCTGCTGCTGTAGGAGGTAATAACTGACTCAGTGAGCCTCGCCTCACACCTTGCTCTTGCTTCGGGAACTGCCAGAGGCTGTGCCCTTCATTTTGCAGTGCTGTAGGGCATCGTTGGCAATATCTGAGATGAATTTCTGGGCAGCTAGGGAGATGAGCCGAATTCTAGAGAGAAAAAGACGGTATGAGAAGGAGGTGCACAACAAACTCCACACAAGCACCCAAGGCTCTACCCTGCCCAGAGTTTACTCACATGCGTGGGTCCGAGGCCTCAAAGCCAGCACGGTTCAAGTAGTAACCAGTCACTGCATCGGGGATCTGAGAAATCAATTAGACGACTGTCAGTGTTGGCCCTGTGTACTGTGGGGCTGAGAGTGGGAGGGTAAGGGAAATGGAGGGCAAGCCTGGCTACCAGGAAGCTCCTCATTTGGGTGGGCAGAAGGGATAAATCACAAGCGCTAGTAGGGGAGTAAACGCAAGAGGACGCTGCAAATACAGGCGGCGTGGCAGAAGCTGACGTGACAGCGGGCCAGCAGCCTGTTCAGGCGGGAAGCCCACCGTAGGCGTGTAATCCTCCAGCTGCATCAAGAAGTCCACCAGAGGCGTGCTGGACACCACCGGCTTCACGTCTCCGTTGGCCGCGCTTGGCAGCACGTAAACCCCGTTAGACATGGCCCCCTCCGGGGGCGCCGCGCCGCCCGCCGTCACCGGAGCTGGAGGAGAACCAGCAAACTGAGACATGGAGGTGGGAGGCGCGGGGGCCCAGCTAGGTCTGCCTTAACCCTCTGCCCTCACCCGCCGCTGGAGCCAGCCCAAGGCGCGGCCCTCGCCCTCACCCGTCCCGGCCCTCACCCGCTCCGCGCCGCTCGGCCGGCTCCCCGGCCCGCGCCGCCACGGCTCCCGTGCCCCCTGCCGCGGCTCCAGCCCCAGGCCCCCCAGCTGTCCCCGCGGGGCTGGCCTTGTTCTCCGCAGCGACGCCGGCGGGCAGCGCGGCGGGGACCGAGACCGCGGGTGCCGGGCCCGAGGCCGAGGCGGCAGAAGCCGGCGCCGCCTCGGGGTCCGCGCCGGAGCCGCTGCAGCTCATCGGGCCGGTGGGAGAGGCGGCGAACAGAACCGCTTCCGCTTCCGTTCACGTTACGCACGCACCAGGGTTGGCGTCACACGCCTCGCGACTCGCCCCTCCCACGTCACGTTCGCTCCTCCCTTAGGCTGCTTGCCTCTTTCCGCGGCCCCTCCGGCGGCTAGATGACGAAGGCCGATGGGCGGAGACAAAGTGTTGGAGAGCCGCGATAGCGCGAACATTTCTCTTAGGCGGATCCGCTGGGATGGGAACGCTTGAATGTCGAGGAGTCTCTTCTGTAGGTCTGGGACCACTCACCCAGCCTGACGCCCGAAAACCTTGCTTTGGGGCCCATCGCCCCGACACCTCTCGACCGTTGGTTGCCTGCCAGTCTGCATCCTTCCTAGTCCCTTTATTCAGCCTTTTAAGGGTTTGTAGTGGAGTTGGATAGCCTCTCTCCCTGGCAGCTGCCCAAAGAAGTGAGGGCAACAGGAGAAAGTGCTGCTGCAGATGGAGAAGGAGGTACAGTCCACCCTCCGTATAGGTGGTGAGGTGTGGGCAGTATTGGTTCCAGGACCCTCCCCTCAACCCCCTTCCCCGCACTGTATAGTTTAAATCATCTCTAGATTACTTATAATATCTAATACAATGTAAATGCTATGTAAATGGTTGCTGGTAAATTCAAGTTTTGCTTTTTATAACTTCCTGGAATTTTTTATTTTCTTTTAATATCTTCAATTCATGGTTGGTTGAATCTGTGGCTGTGGTATGTGAGGATACAGAGGGATGGCTGTCTTTCAGCCTGAATAAACAAGATCTGCAAAATCACAGCTAGTGAAAGAGTGGGTTTTTCAGTGCAGCAAACATTTATTTAATTCCTATTTGCCAGTCCTGAGCTAGGGCCTGCAAATACAAAGTTAAGTAGGACAAGGTTCTAGTCCTCTAGGCACCAGTAGTCTTGGAAAGGGAGGCAAACAGTTAACTGGCCATTTCAACAATATATGGGGGTTTAAATACTGGAGGTAGACACAGAGTGTACAGTGCAAGGGAGGAAGGGAACTAACAGCTGCTGCCTGTATCTGTGTTAGGCATTCTATTAACTTTATCCCATTTAATGATTCCCTGAATATTAGAGGCAGGTATCAATATCTTCACATAACAGATGAGGAAAAAGCCTCAGAGAGTTGAACTTACTTGTCACCTAGTCTATATCAGAACCAAGAATCAAACAGGTTTGTTTTCAAGAATCTAGGATTTTTCTGTCATACCAAAATCAACTAGCTTCAGGGAGCCAAAAGGTTCACACGAGAAGGTGATTTCTGAGCTGAGTCTCGAAAGAATTCTGGAAATCAACCAGGCAAAGGGAGCCAGGTGTGATGTTAGGGCCCAGAATATCTTGAGCAAAAGTGAAAGTGTCTGTGGGGAGGGCAGGAAAGGATAAACAATTTGTTACTCAGGAACAAATGGCAAGTAAGGGATTAGGTCTTTAAGTCATGATAAAAAGCCTGAACTATATCCAGTAATCTTTGAAGGGTCTTAATCAAGTAAATGACCTTATGGGATTTGTATCTTACTCTGGTAGATGGTTTAGGGAAGGGCGGAAAGTAAGGACACTTCTTGCAAGGGCCTCCTCAATTCAGAGGAGAGGGAATATGGCTCAGGGCTAATGTAGTAGCAGTAGAGATGGAGAGAATTCGATGAGTTCTAGATATACTTAGGAAATACAAATGGCAGGACTTGTGGATTGATAAAGATATATTTAAGAGGTAAAGTCAGCAGGACTTGTTGATTGAAGATGATGATGGGAGGAGGTGAGGAAAAGGGAGTCTAGGATGACACTTTAGGTTTCTGGCTTGGTTGGAAGAAGCAGAGTGTCATTTACAAAGAAGAAACAGAAGAGAACGGTTTGGGGTTGGGATGAAGGGGGATGAAATATTGAGGTACATATTACTTTTGAGGTATCGATCACTGTTGGATAAAAAGTCTGATATAGTGAGATGGTGACGGCTGTGGATGCCAGTGATTGATTTGTTCCAGGGTCAATGAGTAGAGCGAGAAGAGCAAAAGACTAAGGATGGAGCAATGAAATACAACAACATTCGATGAGGAAGCGGAGAAAGAGAAAGAGGGAAGAGGGAATGAAGGAGGAATAGGGAGTGGTCAGAGGAGAAGTTAAGCCCTGGGCGCTAAGGAAGGAGAGGCAGTAGACTACTGTGACAGAGAGCCCACAAAGCAAAGATTGGGAAGTGTCCACTGGATGAAGCAGCAGGGAGGCCTTCATTTCTCAGTGTTTCTCAGGGGAGGAAAGAGTGAAAAATAAGAGCAGAGGTCTCATTGCAATGAATTGAGGAGTGAAGATGAAGTGAAATAGTGTACTACACAGACAGTGTAAACAGCTGAAAAAAAAAAGTTGAAAAAAAAATAAAAGAAGAAATGGAAGAGGGGGCAGTGTGTGGAGGAGGCTCCCAAACAGTGCAGGTTATAGCATCTGTAGAGGAACCTGGGCCAGGGGCAGGGGGACCTGAGTATAAGGGAGCAGGTAGCGTTGGGAGTCAAGTCAAGCTCATAGCATTTCTGGGTTAGGGAGATAAGCTGCGGCAGTCAACAGCTGAGGGTTTAGCAGGGCTTCCAACAGTGCAGAACCAGGGACCGAGCCACCGGCTGTGGGGCAGTGGACAGGCCCACTCTTCTAGCAAGAAAGGATCAAGGGTTAATTAGTGTCTTCAGCAGAGCTGGGAAGTTGGGTGTTCCCCAGCCTGTCACAGGATCCCAGCCAGGGCCAGAGCAGAAACCTTGACCCTCCACCTCTTCATTCAGACAGGACTCATGGCAGCCACGTGTCACCTAGGGAGAAGGTGGGCATCAGATCCCGGCTTGCTGATACTAGCAGACTGCATTACCTCACCCTGTATTCACATTCCAGAGGCTATCCCACCCCATCAGAATTGTCCTCAAGCTCATCTTAGCACTCGACATACTCTTACGTAAGTGGCCACACCCCTCTCTTGCATACTCACATCAAAGAGTCCTTCCCCATGCTTCTGGTAGAGCCGTGGGTTGAGAAAACCAAGAGCGGGGAGGCCTCTGAGGATTCTGTGTTCATTTATCAGGGATAGGAGTCCCCCAAACACTGGAGTAGAGGCCTGCAAGGGTGAGGGTACAAGTAGAGGTTAGGGGTTCAGAGTGATTGGACTTTTTGGGAGGGATGGAGCAGAGGTCTCTGAGGAATCAGGGGTTCTGGGTGTAAGGTCTTGCAGGTGGAGGGTGAGGGTAGTCCCTGGGTGGGGGTTTGGAGCCAGGCTAATTCTCACCGAGGTGCCAGACACCCATGGAATGGGCACATGGTTGCTGACCACCCAGTAGCCATCAGAGAGTGCAGCCACGTCTGGGTAGGCACGGCCGCTGGCATTGAAGTAACTGGATGGTGGCAAGTGGGGGCTGGAGCTCAGGTACTGGGCTACAGCTTCCTCCTAAAAGGCATTCTTGAGTGAGTATCATCTGCTGAACTGAGGATCCCACCCGTCCCCCCTCCATCCACACAAACACACACGTACCTGGTATGAAGGCCGTGGGAACACATTGCTGAAGCCGCCACCACTGATATAGTCAACAACCTCATCTGTGACTCGGAAAGGATTCTGGAAGGATGTGCCTCCCACCGTGGTGACATAGGGGCTGAGGGCAGAAGATGGCATTCAGATTGCAGGGTCCAAAGGGCGCCTCCAAAATGTATGGGTCTGGGTCTTGCTGGAGGGACTGGGGAAGTATGTACATGGGGATGACTGAGAGATCTTGGGTCCTCAAGGCATGGCCTGAGGTGACTATGCACACTTTTCCCTATGGAACACCCACCAAATCTCCCCCTAAAATGCCTGAGGACTGAGGAAGCGGAACACTGGGAGCTATGTCCTACTCAGGAGACTCGGGGCCTGTGACCTACAGGAAGAAGAGGGGGGTGCAGGTAAAGTTGAGGGTTGGGCCACAGGAGCACCTGGTGCGATCAAGACAAAGATTCCAGATCATGAGGTCATGGATGAATTGGTGGCCACAGGTAAGTGGTGGGCTGGGGTGCTTACCTGGAGGCAGGGAAGCTGGGACGGAACCGGTGTCTTCCCAAGACAGACCAACACCCAGCCCCACTGTCACCTGGGAGAGAGACCAAGTTTGCCACTCAGTTAAATTGGTCAGAGTTTGGAATGTGGGTTCAGATGTCAGAGAGGAAATTCAAGTGTTAGTCATTACTGCAAGAGGTCAGAGTTGAGGTCAGGTCAGTGGTCCCTGTTGAGTTCAGATTATGAGTTAGAGATCAGGTCCAGGAGTCACTGCGGGGTCAAAGTTCTGAGGCTGGGTGGGTGTGGGAGTCTAAGTTTAGAGTAGGAGGTCACCTGAGGCAAAGAGCAGGGTAAGACCCCGAGCAGCAGCCTTCATGAGCTCAGTGTTGACCCGCTGGATGTAAGCGCTGCTGAGGGAGTCCTCATCATCTCCGTAGCTAACGGTGTGCACATGTGGCAGGGCTGACTCATTACTGAGCAGCAGGAGCCACTGCAGGAAGGGCTCCTGTGACTCATGCCGGCCTGGATTTTTTTTGGAGAAGAGGGCACAAAGGCAGTCATTTGGGAAGTTGTCAGGATCTCCCTGGAGCTCACGGGATTCCCTTGGGGAAGCAAGGGTCACCACTCACCCCCACCTCTGTCCCCACCAGCCAGTCCCCTTGGCAGTACCAGGGCTACTGTAGACCCAGGTGGAGATGTTGGCGCCAGCACTCATCAGGTACTCCACATCTAGGCTGGCCTCGATTCCGGCCTGGCCCCGGCCCTGCTGTCCGACCACACGGGCTACCGTTGCCTGGTGTGCAAAGTTCCCACCGAAGAGGCGCATGAACTCAGCCAGGTCTGAGTCATGGAAATACTGCTCCAGGAACTATGGAGGGAATCAGAGCAGATATCATGGGTCAGAGGACACAGCCCCAAGGGTCAGGTCAGGGGATACTGTCCCAGATCACAGGATTGGGGGTGAGAGCCCAAGGGTTAGAGTCAGAGAGTCAGCCCCAGGCTGTTCAGGCACCTTGGGGAGGCGGTAAGGTCCCTGAGGCTCTCCACGTGGCTCACCTGGGCACAGGCTTGACTGTTGTTGGTCGTGCCAGAGCCCACGTCTTGTGCCGTCAAGTTGTACCGCTCACGGATCACAGATGGGGTCACCCCCAGGTGTAGGCCAACAGTCCCTGGCACCTGTGGCTCGGGGCGTTGCCTCAGGGTTGATATGGGGGGAAAGCGGTGCAGCCCCCCCACTGTGGGGAGGAGTCAGCCTTGAGGAAGAGATCCTTTAGCCTCCAACCCCCCATTTTATCACTGACCCCCCCCCCCACCAACCCCACTGGGTGTTACCAAAGTCCACGTGGGAGGCCAAGGCCTTCGGGAGCCGGTAGGGACGTGGGGACCTTACAACATGGGTCTCTGCAGGTCCCCCCATATAGTGATGAAACTCAGCCCCAGAGAGCAGCAGCTCTGCTTGTCTGAAGTCAGAGATCAGAGAACAGAGGTCAGAAAGCATGGAACAGAGCCGAGGAGGCTGCCTGAGCATCGCGGGGCAGTTAGTCGTTATCTCCCCACGTGTTTTCACCCACAGGCCCTGGCAAGCTCTCAGCTCCCTTCCACTGCGGTGACGAATCTCCCTGATGGGATGATTGGTGCCCTCCATGAGGCAGTTATTCCCTCTTACCGGACACTCAGCCAGCAAGTCAGAAAGTCCTGTGTGGTCACTGAGTGGCAGTTCCGGGCTCCAGCAGCCAAAAGCCATTTTTGTACTGTGTGGAGGGTCAGTGGTGATGGCCGGACCAGTTCAGCCACATCCTCTAGGGTCAGGTACTTTCCTGCAGGGATTCAGTAGAGGCTCTTGCCTTCATTCCTTGCTTTTCTAAGTTGCCCTTTCTGAACCTTAACCAGGAGACACTGGAGCTTAACATGATGGCGAGTCACTGCTCTCCTGTGTGGATCATGCATACACCTCCTGGGTGAACCTTAGACTGCCCCCCTCACCACGAAGGGCTTCCAGCAGGGGAAGCCCACAATCCAGCTTGACCATTGGAGCAAACCATGGGCCTTCTGGAGCAGAATGGTGGGTAAAGTAGGGGCAAGAGTGGAGGGGAAGAGACTGCAGGCTGGCAGCAGTCCCGGTGAAAGAGTCATCAGCTGAGTTGGTGGCAACAAGGAATGGTGAGACAGTGGAGTATTTCAGAGCTGGAACTGGCAGCCTTAGGGTCGAATGGAGGAGTAAATGAGAGTGAATTTAGTGGGGGGAGGTGAAATTTGAGGTAATGAGCACTTATATGTACTGGGTGCCACTTCCCCATTTGTCTGGTAGTTGGTAAATAGAGTCAGAATTTGAATCCAGATCTGATCACCAAGCCTGTGCTCTTAACCATACCCACTTTCAGTTTTTGAGCCTGGTGAACATAGGTGGAAAGTTTTGGAGGAAAGAATGTGAATTAGTTTTGGACACTCTAGTTCCAATTCACCTTTTTATTCAGAAACTCTTTAATGAGGGTCACTGCCATTCATCTGTCCTATACCAACCCCTCGACAGGCCCCAAGAGCACGTCCCTGACGTGACCTGCACCGTCTCACACTCAGCCCAGTCCTGTGTCCCTCTACTGCATCCCACATACCGCCCCAGTCCCATCAGGCACCGTAGCGAGAAGAGCCGGGATCCGACACAGCCTGCACCAGCTCGGACAGTCTCTCCAGGTTCTGCTGTCTCAGGGCAAACGTGAGACTCAGCTCTTCCTCAGGGTCCGCACGGCCCAGAGACACCCAGCTTGGTGGCAGCCTGCAGGGTCAGGGGTCAGGCACATGGCCTTCATTAGAGTAGGGATGGGAAGGTTCAGCATTAGACCTAGACCTTGGGGAGGATTCCAGAAGCAGATATGGATCACAGGAGGGGGATTATCGTGGACTGAGTCTGGGAACCTGGGAATAAGGCTATGGAGTGGGTACCAGGAGCTGGTAAGGGGGGTGAGGGAGGCTAGAACCAGGAAAACGGGTACAGGAGAGGCCATGGGGTAGGGGGTGTCAGTGCTAAGTCAACTCACATCCGCTGCTGGTCAGGCTCCGGGCTGTAACTGCATTTGCCGGCGACAAAGAGGGCAAGGAGCCCTAGGAGGCTACAGGGGCGGCACATGGGTTTCAGCAAGGAGCTGGACTGTCACTGTGTTCCCACCCTCCAACATATACTCCCTCCAACATGATTCCCTTCTCCCAGAGCCCCCTAGTTTCTTACCAGGCTCGGGGGCCCATTCTGCCTTTCTGCAGATCCGCTGTCATGTGACAGATCACATGAGCCCTATAGTGCACCACGACCTCCTGTCTCTGCCTAGAAACTAGTGACGATGCTGGCTCCTCCCTTGAATGGGTGGTCCTGAATGCTGAAGAAGGGGAGGGGCTGCTCTTCGGATTCTCCCTCTGTGGACTGTCAAACACTGGGTAAGCTCAGGGCTCCCCACCTGCTGCCAGAATCCAGGACTCACCACAGTGTAGGGGGTGCTTAAGAAAGGGGCTTTGGAGGCCCACAGACCCAGGTTCTTACTAGCTGTATGATATCAGAAAGTCACTTAACTTCTCGGAGCCTAGGTTTCTTCATGTAGAATATGGAGACTATTATGTTAAAAGTGCTCTGCCTCAGAGGGTTGCAGTGAAAATTTACAGAGATAAAGCAGGCAGACCCCTCAGCAGATAGCCGCACACGGCAAAGGCTCAACAAATGTGAGCTCTTATTACACGCGAGTATATAGGGGCCCCACGGAAAACAAATACACCACGTGGCTGCTCTTGTACCCACCCCCACCTCCCTGAAGACCCTCAGGCCTAGAGCTGGTCATCTCTAAGATCTCTCCCCAGCCAGCCAATCCCTCTCTAGGTCACTGCCACAAGCAAGTCCCTGCTGTCTGCCGTCTTCTGGCCTCCTGCCCACGTTAGAGGGAAAGGTCAACTGCAGAGAGATGTGATAGCCTCGGGTTGGGCTCGGGCTCCCAGTGCCATCCCCACTCGCTCCCACCCTAGATGCCCCTTGTGTCCACCACCTTCTGTGACTCCTGAAGTGTCCACAGTGTGCCAGGTGGCTTCCCATCATCCCCCCACCCCTACGGCCCCCACAGAACAGAGCCGGACACTGGATACAAACTGCAGTTTATTAAGGCTCCAGAGTGAGAATTGGCACTTGATTCTGGGCAGGGGCAGGGGTGTCAGTGGAACCCAAAGGAGCTGGGTCCAAACAAGTTAGAGGGACTGCCCCCATTCCCCCTACCCCCCAATAAATAAAGTCTCAGCTCCATCTCAGGCTGCTGGCACAGGGCAAGAAGCCCTCACTGAGGAGGACCCAGTGAAGGGCCGCTGCCTCCTTCATCATCTTTCGCTCCACACTGGACCCGGCCACAGGTCAGTGCCCAACAGGGCCTCGTGGTGCTGGTGCTCTGACAGGGCCGGGGTGAGACGTGAGACCTGTCCCCACTGGAGGACTCTGGGGTGGGGATCTGGCCTTCCCCGCGGCCAATCATGGTCCGAGGCTGCCCAGGGCAGGCTCAGATGGGGCCTGCATTGGGGACACTGTGCGCATCCCAGGTCGGGGCCCAGCCTGGGCCACAGCTAGATATGCAGCTCCGTGTCATCGGGTGGCTCCAGGCCGGACTCTGCACTCAGTGCTGAGGCTGAGGGGCCCTGGGCCACCCCAAATGGTGAGACAACAGGTGAGCGAGCAGCCAGAGGAGACAGTGAGGGTGAGAAGCTGGGGGACATGGCAGCTGAGGACAGGGAACCTTCATGGCTGATGGGGGAGCGGTGAGAGGCTGGTGGGAAGATGGCCCGGGTTGTAGCCGTGCTGGCTGGCTTGGGGGGCACAGACTTGGCTCCTGGGTGGGCCACGGCAGTGATGAGGGGTGGTGGGTCAATACGGGGAGCCGGGGGACACGGCCGAGCCTCATCCTTGAGCCGGGCGATCTCTGTGAAGACGCTGGCCAGCGGCTGGAACTGAGGGCACCAGCTCAGCAGGTAGTCCCAGTTATAGCTGCCACGGAGCTCCTCCTCCCCAGCCACAATGGCCGTCAGTGCTCCTGCCACACATGGCTTGCCATCTGCTGGAAAGCCATAGTCCCCAGTGGGTGCAGGGCTTAGGCCACAGCCCCCCAAGAAGGCTGTGGCAGCGGCTGGGGGGCCCTCTTCTCGGTACAGAGTGGCCCCTGCACCCGGCAGCAGCAGCCCTGCCTTGCGGCCCTTATACCAGGTGTCAGGGGCAGGTGGCTCGCAGGATGTGTCGCTCAGTCCATCTGCATCCTGCTGGATGCCGGAGTCAGGGCCACGGGCAGCTAGAGAGGAAGCCACACTGGCCACACGGGGGAACTCGTTGATCATGCGGATCTCGTCATCCTCTGCGGCCTCCGCTGAGCCTCGGCCGCTTGAGTGTGAAGGGTCCAGGGAGCCACCACGGGGGTAGGGTCCTCCAGCTCCTGGCCCACCATAGCTGGGGAGAGTCTGGTGATACAGGTGCTCTGAAGGCGGTGGGCTGGGTGGCTCTCGGCCCAGCTTCTGTAGAGAGCCACTGGCCAGGGGTGCTGCCTGTGACATCGGGCCAGGTGCCGCCTCAGCCTTGCGGCTCCGGGCCCGCACCAGCCCTAGGACCAGGGCTGCCAATGCGAGCACCACCACGACTCCCAGGGAGGCCGCCACAGCCCCCACCAATAGCAGGTTGAGGTCAGGTGCCAGGCCCAGCGCAGTGTGGGTGATGTCCACAGTTACGGGCACTGTGGCACTCCGGGAACCAGGCAGAGGGCCCCGTGCTACCACCTCCAGCCTCAGCTCCCGTGGTGCCTCACGTCGGGTCCGGCCCCCACCCCCAGAGGTGCCTGTGCCGCTGCCTGGTGCCCGGCTGTCCACCCGCAGGTACAGGGCACCTGTAGTCTGGTTGATACCAAAATAGGGGGAAGAGGTGGCAAGGGAATAGAGCACCAGGCCATCAGCACCTCCATCCTCATCTGTGGCCTGCACGTGACCCAGGCTGTGGCCACGCCGGGCACCTTCTGGCACTTGGAAGTGGAAAGCTGGAGCCAAGAATACTGGGTCATACTCATCCTCACCAGTCACCAGCACTGACACAGTGACTGAGGCTGACAAATTCCCAGCATCGGTAGCACCCACCAGCAACTGGAAGCTTCCTGTGTGCTCATAGTCAAAGGCCACTCGTGCCCGCAACTCCCCTGTTGAGCTGTTCAGCGCAAATGCCTCACGGCCCTCAGGCCCTGGCCCAGCCTCCAGCAAGTTGTAGCGGAGCCTTCCGAAAGCCCCAGCATCCCCATCAATCGCATGCAGAGTAGTCACGAGAGTGCCTGGAGGCTGGTTCTCTGCCAGGCTGGTGCTGAGCAAGCTCAGAGGGAAGGCTGGCCTGTGGTCATTCACATCCTGGACCTCGATGGTCACTGGTGCCAGAGCAAAGTGTGCCCCGGCAGGGTCGGCAGCCCGCACGACAAGCTGATGTCGAGCCTGGGTCTCACAGTCCAAGGGGTGGGCCAGTCGCAAGTCACCCGAGCTCTCATCCAGCTGAAAGAGCCCAAAAGGGTCGCCTGAGCTGAGGGTGAAACGCACAAGGCCATGTGGGCCTGGGTCAGCGTCGGAGGCCTCCACGTGCAGCAGCTCGGCTCCAACAGGTGTGTCCTCGGGTACTGCCACACGGTAGGATGCTCGGGTGAAGACAGGTGGGTTATCATTGACATCCAGCACAGTGACGGTGACCGGCACAGCCGAGCTTCGAGGTGGCTGCCCCCGATCAGCTGCAGCCACAGTTAGATTGTACTGGGTTAGGCTTTCGAAATCTAGAGGCTCAAGCAACACCAGGCAGCCCAGGGCCCGGGGGCCTAGTCCATCACCCTCCCCAGTCTCAGCTAGCCGGGGTTCCAGCTGGAAGACTCGGCCCCGGTTGCCACTGACAATGCTGTAGTCCACGGTGGCGTGGGTGCGGCTTCCGTCGGCATCTGTGGCCTCCAGGGTGAGCAGGGTGGAACCAGGGGGCAGATCCTCAGTTACTGCCACACGGTAGTGTGACAATGTGAAGCTCGGGGCGTGGTCGTTCTGGTCCTGCAGCTGCACGTGCACTGTGGTGCGTGCTGCCCGAGCCGGCGTCCCATGATCTCGTGCTTCCAGCACCACGTCCACTACTCCTGGCCCTTCATGGCCCAAGGCCATTGTCACCACTGTTGTGAACAAGGTCCCTGAGTTGATAAGGGAATGAAGAGAAATACGCCATCAGCAGAGGCTGTGGGTGAGCAGAGTGACCCTACGAAGACTGGGAAATGGCCTCGGAAGTCAGACTCCAGGGAGTGGCCTCTGTGCTAGGAGATTACAGAGGGGGACCTCCAGGATTCAGAGAATGGCTTCTAGGCATGCAGTCAGGACAGTGCTTAAAATAGAGATAAAGGGCAGAAAATGTCCTCCCTGGGTCAGAGATCTAGGAGTTAAGAGTTCAGGCAAGAAATTCCAGGAATGAGGTCAAAACATGGCCCAGCACAGTCAAGGATAAGGGGTAGATCCCAGGAAGGACGCACCGTTGTTGGGGTCAACACTGAAGCCCTCAGCAGGTGAAGCCAGGTGGTAGGAGACATGACCATTGGCACCTGAATCCCGGTCAGTGGCAGAGACGGAGAGAATGGCACTGCCTGGGGGTGTGTGCTCAAGCAGCATCACCTGAGGTGTGAGGACAAGGGTTTATGGCCAAGCGTCCCAGCTGCCCACTCAGCCTATGTTCTGGAGCTTGGTCCCATGAGCTCCGCTTGGCATCCGTCCCAGCTTGGAGCCCATCTACCCCTTAGAATTTGGGTTGTGCACCTTCCTCCTTTTGTGGGCACCGGATGAAGAACCTGGACACAGTTCCCAGGACTTATAAGGCTGGTCTTATATCCCCAAAGATCCGTCCCCAAGTCAGTTCCGACATCCAGCCCACCTCAGATCCTTCTAGCCTTGTCACTCCCCTCCGTTGTGAACAACCCTGGGCCCAGAGGTGGGGGCATCAGTACCTGGTAGAGGGTCTGTGAGAAGGCGGGTGCATTGTCATTGACATCCTCCACGAGCACCGTGAGGTTGGCCCGGCCCTCGTGAGGCCCGTCATGTGCCAGGAGCTGCAGGTGGTAGCGGTCACGCTGCTCAAAATCCAAGGGGCCCGTGAGGGAGAGGCGGCCACCATAGCGGCCTACACTGAAGGGATCCTGGGGCCCAGAAGGGCTCAGCACATACCACAGTACTGGTCCTGAGTCCACATCATTCCCTGTTACCTGTGCAATCTCTGAGCCCAATAATGCATCTGCAATACATGG